TTTTTATGTTTAACTTCACTCGTCAAACACAAAGAAAACTTGGAAAGAAACGTTCCAAATTAACAAGCAATAAAGCTTTAATCAACAAAACAAAACTTGTATAATTCGAAGTTTACAACCTTTATTTATAGACTCAAACTAATCCTAAACCTAATCAAATTAGAAGACTAATCCTAATTGAATTAGAATCCCATTTGACCTGGAAACCTAAGAAAACTGAAACTTGATCCCCTAAGTTCCTAATTCGGATATGACTAAACTAACTAAGTTTAATTCAACTTAGATTAGTTTATTCAATCCTCCTAAAACTCCTAGACACGCCTAAAAACCAAAGTCAAGTCCTAATCCACTTAGGAATTTACTTTGCTAAAAACAAGTCCTAATTCAAATAGGAACTCTCTTTTGCTAAAGACAAGTCCTAATTCAAATAGGAACTCACTAGACCAAAACAATTCCTAATCAAAATAGAAATCCTAACGCTTAAAACAAGAAAAACCCTTTCAAGTGAAAGGTAAAAACTTGTAAGCCAAAATCTAATCTAAGAAACATTAAAGAAACAGACCAAGAAAGGAAACCTTGAATGCTTCCGCATCATTTAACATACATGCAAGCTCCGAAAGCAATTATAACATACTCTAAGCACCTAAATACAGCAACAAGGTTCCCTAACAACAAAACAAAAATTAAGAGTAAACAAATCCAACACATACAAGTTCTTAATAACAGAGTAACAACCAAAGAACCATGACACATAAATGAGGAAGCTAAGAAATTGAGATATCATAATTTTAATATTTTAATTTACTTTAAAACATAATTTAATTACTTTTACTTAGTTTTTATCTATATTTGAAATTGATAAAATAATAGGTTTCAATGGGGCATCTTGTCAAACAGTTAGTGTGCATTTAGAAATTTATTTTACTTTTAAGGAGATATATATAGATCAATTAGATCTAAATTTAACAAAACAAAAATTTAAGAAACTCACATAAAAGTAGCTGAAGATTGTGACTATCACGAATTCCGAATTAAAATTTCTTTTATAATTCATTAAATCAAGCACTCACTTGATTTCGCTTATGATTTGATGGAATTTAAGCAAAATCTGCTCATATTGAATTGTCAAATAACAACAAAATATCACTAAATTACAATTTATTGAAAATCAATTTTAGGATTCAACATATTGAATATATGTTCATCAAATCCCTTTTATGATTAATTCATAACAAAAACATCAATTGATACCGTAAAAAATTTAAAATCAAAACTGAAGAAATTCAATAACATAACTTACCTCGAAAGAAAATCTAGTCGAAGAACGAAGATTAGAGAAAATGCTGAAGCAGATGAACGACGAGAGAGAGAAAATTGAAAAAAATTAAAATCTAAAGAAAATGATTGGATGGCAATTAATGACACGGGAAAGATTACGGCCGTCCGATCTCAAGAGATTAAGGGATAAGATTAGTTCCTAGTTCGTATTATAGAGCTAGTTCTCATTATAACCTAGTCCATATATATATATTACCCAGCTTATTTCTCTATCTCTCCAAAGTTGAAGGAGAAACATCAATGGTCTGAAGCTTCAAGGATCGATCATTTCTCTCTCCTCTTGTTCACTTACACATAATTTTGGTAAGTAATTTTCAAATATCATGCCATTTTCGAATTGAATTATCTCAATTTAGTATTTTCATCAAAATTTTCGAATTTGATGTTCTAATTATCAAATTTTGGTGTTAGAATTTGAATGCTTTTATTTTGGTTATTTGAGTTTGACATTATGATTTTTGCTAGATTTTTTGAGTTGAGTGCTCTCAATTTAGGATTTTCATTATAAATTTCCTATTGCATGTTACTTTTACGTTAATTAAAGCTAATTTTCGTGAAATTTTCTATTGAATATTCTTAATTTGTAAATTTTTTGTTAATTTTTGAGTTGATTAAGTTTTGTTATGAATTATGTAATTGTGTTTCAATTAAAACTTGGTTTAAAATGGGTTATTGGTGCATTTTTATGATACTTATGAATATCCTGATAGTGCATATAAGGTGTTTGATAAAATGCTTGTTAGAAATCTTGTGACTTGGTACTCTATGATAAGTTTTTGATGATTTGGTCTATAGTGAAATTGTACATGTACACTTTCTTTAAGTTATGACTTCTTGACCATGTTGTTGTGTTTTTATTTTAAATTTGAGTATCATTGTTTCATCTTGTTGTTGTTGCTAGGATAGTTTGTTTTGTTGGGGTTGTGCTTCCTAAATATTTATTTGCTCATTTCACAAATGATCACTGAGTTATTTCCTCATTTCCTAAATATGTGAAATAATATAGAAAAAATATAATGAGCAAACATAATTAAAATGAGCAAATACAAAAAAAAAATGAGCAAATATAAAAATCAGCAAATGAGGAAAATAAGTTAGTGATGGTAGGGTGCAGGGGACAACGGCGGTGGCAGGGGAGTGAGAGTGAGACAGGTTGTGGTGATGCTGGTGGTAGGGTGCAGGGGCAGAGGAAGGAGAGAGAGTTTGGTGGTGGTGGTGGTGGTGATGGTATGGTGTAAGGAAGATGGTGAGAAATGGCAAAAATCAAATATATCATAGTCAGCAAATATATCATACATGTTCTATTATAGGCAGCAAAGTTGATTATTTGTTCATTTTTTGTTGCACAAATATATTATTTTTTATGATTAGTAGTAAAATTATTTCACATGGTTTGAATTGGGAGTTCTTACATGTCATACTTTGTAGTGTAGAACATAGTCTGCTATTCAACCCCTTATTCTGCCCCCCTGCTACTGCTCCCTAACTGCTGCCACCTTTCTACTGCTCCCCCTTTTCTCTTATTATGTTTTATATTTTACTGTGTTATGGACTTGTTATTGAGCAAAATTATGATTGGAAAATGTTACTCATATATTCTTAGGCGCATCAAACTTTCTGTTGCTAAAATTGCACTTGTAAGTCATGCTTTATGTGCAAAGAGGAACTCTTTGAGTTATTGGCTACAAGTTGGCATGTTTAAATGTATGTTAAAGAACTATTGGAAACACAGTTGGATTCACTTCTTTTCTGACAATGCTGAATTGTATGTTTTTGAGATTTGCTACCTTTTCAACTTAACCAAGTTATAATACATTTCCTCTTCTATATTTGATCCCGCTGAGAAGTATATATCTTTGATAATTCCTGCATATAAGGAAGAGCACAGACTTCCAAGTGCACTTCAGGAAACTATTAAGTAAGTTTGTCTAGAATACAATGGCAAAATAAGATCCTTCAATATTCTCTTTGTCTGTCTATTACCTCTTTTGTTAGTACCTTGAATTTGATATTTCTTACATACTGTGTTTTGGAAAACCTGTGTGTCCCCCAAAAGATATTTGCTATTCATCTCTGTTTTTCCTGACGTTGTAATTATGTATATGTTGGTGACAAGTTACATAGAAAATGATTTAAAACATATGATAAACTTATTAGCTCAAATGGTAGAGCACTATGCAAATGCATAGAGGATGTAGGTTCAATTCCAACATAGGTTATCTCTATAAACAAAATTAATTAAAAAAAAAAATCAAATTCGTACTAAATTATATGAGCAAAAAAATGGTTTGAAATGATTTATAACTATATAAACTTTGTTACAACTAAACTCTCATACAAACTTGTGTCTCCTCATTACATAAATGAATCTACATGGGATTCGAACCCACATCTTTTGTGTATTTGCACAATGCTCTACCCTTGAGCTAGTAGGCTAACGTATTTAAAACATTCAAACACACTCAGAAATGAGCATTAATTTGACAAAATGAGCAATTAATTTTTGCTCATTTGACAAATGATCATTAAATAGTTTGCTCATTTGACAAATGAGCAAAAATTAATTGCTCATTTGATAAATGAGAAAAAAATTAATTGCTTATTTTGACAAATTATTTGCTCATTTTTGACAAATTAGTAGAGAATAAATATTAATTTTTGACAAAATGAGCCAAAATTATCTGCTCATTTGACAAATGAGCAAATACTTAGTTGCTAATTTAACAAATGAGCGAAAACTTAGTTGCTCATTTGTCAAACAAGCAATTAATTTCCTTGCTCATTTGTGAAATGAGCAACCATGATCATTTAATTTGGGAAATGGGCAATAAATTTTTTGCTCATTTAGTAAATGAGCAAATAGTTAGTTGCTCATTTGTCAAATGAGCAAATACTTATTTGTTAATTTAACAAATGAGCAAAAACTAGTTGTTCATTTGTCAAATGAGCAAGTAGTTAGTTGCTCATTTGTCAAATGAGAAAACATTTCTTTAATCATTCATTAAATCAACAAGCATTTCTTTGCTCATTTGTGAAATGAGCAAACATTAGTTTGCTCATTTGTAAAATAAACAAACATTTCTTTGATCATTTGGGAAATGAGCAATCAATTTATTACTCTTTGGCCTTTGTCTCATCATGAACTTTTTTACATTTTGGTATATTTTGAGGAATTATGATGATTATTTCAAGATAAAAATCATAACCACAACTGGACATGTATTTCTAGCAGAATCAAAATTCAGATCCTAGCAATTCAATCATAACATCATGTAACCAAGTAACCTACGCGTCTCAGGTAAAAAGGAAATTATACGTACCTTTTGTGTCTTTAGTCTTGCTTTAATGGTATCCACAAGATTTAATGTGGTTACAAGCGCTTTTTGCAATACAGCTCAAATTTCCTCTTCTGAGACAGGGCCCTAGGCAAGTTTGCCTAAAGTGGAAGAGAACCCTCAAGGACCACAACCACCAACTAGTCAACTACCTTCCACAGCCAAAACAGAAAAACCTACCATTCTTAAGAGCAGAAAAGTATCATTACAGGCTTACAACTTTAAGGTCTGTTACAATGTTCCTATTAACATCACACCTTTGAGCTAAATGTAGGCTATTTTCATATAATAGTAGTGTCTGATACATGATTGTGCCTGAATGCCTGACACAAGAGTCTGAGTAACATGCTTCATTACATTTTTAGTGGGGTGCACACCAAAGTAAGACGACAAAATACAATGGATTCAGTTGTTCATTCCCCTTCAAATTTAATTTACTTTGGTAATGAATAATTGAAAACTATACGGTACACTTTCAGCTAAAAATTAACCGGATGCACCAACGAACTCAAAATTTTGCAAAATTTCCACTTCAGAATTTCAGATTCCAAAAATAATCAACTTTCCCAATTTGACCATTATCACTATTTAACATTGAGAAAAAAAAACCCTTCCTTTCTCTTTGTACCTTCTTATTCCTTTGAATCTCTGACCTTTCTTTTTTCTTTTTTTTTTAATTCTATGCCAATCTCTGTATCAATTGCTGGAATCATAGTACCTAACTAGAGTTATTCGACAATGGCCATATACTATAAATCAGTGACACAGAGATCGAGTTAACTAACTATGTAATAGTTGTGTACACTTCCACTCTTCTGAAAAAAACGAGCAATATCATAAGTAACATCTTCGACAGGTCTGTGAGGATCCACGTCGCCAAATGTTTTGAACCTGGAGTTAAAGTCAAATAGTCTGTTCAATCATGAACTTATTTATAACGAGATGCTTAAAAATCTAAAAACTTGGAAAGCTCAAGATCTTGAAAGGCAACTTAAAAAACATGTTAGAAAAGTTACCATCCAGGCCAGTTCTCAGTCCAAATCTTCGGACTTTTGGAAGAACTTGGAGTAAAGTCGTCACAGTAGAATCCATTACAAGTATTTATCTGCAAATAATTAGCATGGTCACATAAACTATGGCTCATTGATGATTGATTTCTGTTAAGTTCCTAAAAAATTCATTAAACAAGACAAAAAAACCGCAAGCATATGAATGGGAAACCTATGTAAACTTAATGTAATGGTATTAAAGCGTACAATTTCTACCACAAGCAAGAAACATCCTTTACACAAGTTAACCTATATAATTCTCCCAAAAAGGAGAAGTTTTTTACTCGCAACATTTACATAATCAGTTAATAAAAAATAAAAAAATAATAGTAATGGTTATGCATAAAATAAAATAAATAAAGGGTGAGACATCTCTCTGCTTATTCCTTTTTTGTTTTTGGGAAGGAGAGGGACAAAAGAAGATATAGAAAGTCAGAAACACCTCAACTGAAGCAACACCTTTCATATTATTATTTCTGAAAGGAAGTAGTGATAGATCCTGGAGTTTCAGTTATCATTAAAAACAATCAAGAAATCCAATAACGAGCCATGTACATAGGATGTAATGGAAGAGGAAACAGCTTGGGGCTCAACAGAACCACCCACAATGCCCAAAGGTATGATTAGATCAACACTATAACATAACATAATAAGCAGACACATATGGATAGACATGAAACACAACTAGATAAGATGAGCAAAATAGTTCAAGAAGTAGTTATATGTTTGCAGCTATGTCACATATGAAGGTTTAGATAATAAACCTTTCCGAGCAAAATACATGGGAAACAAAGAAATCACAGAATTCACACATAGAAAATGAACCTGCATATCCAAATATTCTCACCACAGGATCAGGTTTATCCCACTGTTGGCACATTATCCAAGGCACACCTATGTTCTGAGAAAGGGCCATATTGGCAGCCCACAAGGCATATTTCTTCCCTCCATCTCCATATGATTGTTCATAATAACCATATTCCTTTTCTACCTACAAGAAAAAAGAAAAATAATACCAAGTATTACATGAATACTGTAGTTGTATGAATTGACATTACAAGAAGGAAAACAAAACCAATAGAGCCACAAAGAACTTGTAAAACAAAAGCAAAAAGTGCTCAAATGCAAGACATCACTATATATAAAAGAATTTTTGTAGAACAGAACCAACTCACTACCACAAGTGCTCTATAATCCTATATCACTTAACTTCTCAAATATACAAATGCTTTGTAAGAACAGAAAAATATAGCTTTTGAACTAAGTTCTGCTTTACTTGCTACTTCTAACACTTCCACATTTTTCTATGCAATGCAACATCCATTTCAGGACTTGCTTAAACAATATTTAATTTGAATGTACCTGAGCCATGATGATCGGACCTCTTTGTGATGTAAAAAGCTTCTCCTTCTTCATCAGGTCCACTATGTATGTCGTGAACTTCTTCATGTAATACTGCTTAGGACAACCACCAACACAGAAAAGTTAAAGATTCATGCTAAACATTTTGGCAATTGAACGAGTATAAAACATTAAGAAACCAGAAAATGAACAAAATTAAATCAAGAACTCATAAAATTGCTTCGTACTATCATCACGTGATACAAACTACTAAAAATCACATAAAAACAAAGTAAAATGCCCAAAATCAATAAATTGATACTTACATCATTCGTTCATATGTAACAATAGCTTCGGTTGAATCCATTTGATGAAGAATTTCGCGATTTCTAGGGTTTCAACAAAATCACAAAAACCATATTCAATACCAAAATTTGAACAATTGAAGCCAAATATCAAAGGAAAAATAATTAAAACAGCAAATACCTAACTATAGTTGTAGATTCAAGTCGAAATTCAAAGATATCTCAGCATTACGATCAAAGCAGTGTTCGTTCAGAAATTTTTGGGGAAAGAAGAGAGAGAAAGGCAAGACCTAGATCAATATCTAGAGAGAGAAAAAGCTGGACACTTTTTTTAAATTTTTCTTATATACAATCTAAAATTTACAATAATCCATTATTTTGACAGGGATAGATGTGGAGCGTTGGATCTTGTTTGATTCAATGGTTATAAAGTGTTCTCACATAAGGGATGTGTTCTCACATGATCCTATTTCTATGTATGATTAGGGGATTTTTTTCCCGCCACGGGGACCACTCAAATCCTGCCACATGTCATCCATGTGGATCAATCAAAGTCCGCCACGTGTCACTTCGTGAGAGGTCCAAGGTGGACCAATCAGGCCACGACACGTGGCAGACAGATAGCCTACCAGGAAGCTGGCCTCTTACGGCCCAAATTCCCAGGCAAAGCCCAGTCAGCCCTAGGTTTACTAAACCCTAGTATTGGGCATGTTTTCCAACACCCTATAAAAGGGAGATGTTTCCCTTTGAGGAAAATCTATTCAGAAATACTTAATTCACATTAACTCTCCATCAGAGAAAGTCAGACACCTGACCTCGAACTGAGCAATTACACATTGCAGATACTCTCTTGGAATCTGAGAGAGACCTTTTACTTTCTGCACTTTACTCCTCATACACGTTCTAACTTGATCGTCGGAGGTGGAACTCCCACCCACCGGAGTCTCCGTTGTTTTGCAGGTACAGGCGTCAAGAAGTCAGTCTTGGAATTGTAACTCTCCCGCAGGACATCAAAAAACCCCGAAACATTTGGTGCCGTCTATGGGGAGAGTACTTCTGAGATGACTTCACAAGAACTTGTACCGCCTCTAAATGAGAAACGGCCTATGGCCGATGTCCAGGTCTACTCGGACTAGGATACAGATGACGACTATGAAGTCGCCACCAACACGGCCCCTGATGGGTCCCTGAGAACAAGGCGCATCCGTCCCACTGAAAGGAGGGAACAGAACACCGACCAGGCAGGGCCCAGTGAAACAGTCGGCCAGCCGACTGGTCAGCTCCAGGTGGCTGAAGGATCAACCCCCATCACTGGAAACGAGCTCATGACTCTCATGACAAGTTTCAAAGGGGAGATAAAGGATCTTATTGATAAATGGACGGTTGTCCCTACCAAGGAACAGTCGGCCAAGAAGCCCCCTTATTTTGGGAGGAAAAAGCCGGTCAAGGACCGAGAGGCCACTCCTTACCCTAAACCGAGGGAGGGATAGAAGCCTTTGTTAAATTTGGCCGGACTTCGGTTCCCTGAGCCAGGGAAGAGGAAAGCCATCCGGCATATACAGCCGGATGGTTCCAAGAAAACATATTCCGATGCTCGGATGATAATCTAGTAAAAGAAGAATATGTAACTGTCAGAGTCGGCCTCAACGTCGAACTTCAATGACAGCTTTTCAGAATACCTCAATGAGGTATTCTCAATCAAACCAAGAGAACCAGACAGGCAGCATGTCCGCCCACTCTAGTCCTCAGATGTTCTAGGCGTCCCTATATGCGCCTCCACAGCCATACATGTCGTATGGACCACCTTGTATGCAGCCTACCCTCTTTGGGGGGCAGGCGGCACAAAATATCCAGCCTTTGGATTGGCAGCTCCGACTGCTAAGACATGGGGAACAACCTTCAGCTTTCTCCAAGGAAATAACTGAGGCCGCACAGCTGGCCAAGGTAAAAAATGTGTTGGTAGGTACTTATGATGGTACCACCAATCCTGAAGACCATCTGATGGCATACACCAACCTTATGTATCTACAAAGGTTGGATGATGTGGCATGGTGTAGATGCTTCCCGGCCACATTGAAGGGCGTCGCCAGCAATGGTTCGGCAACCTGCCAGCCGAATGCATCAATAACTTTAAGACGCTTGCATACTTGTTTGTGTCAAACTTCTCAATGAATATCCCTACGAAGAAAACAAGTCTTGACTTGGGATCCATACAGCAAGGAGAGAAGGAGGGGCTACGCTCATATATCAGGCGGTTTTATCTGATGAGAATTCAGATTCAAGGACTGTTTGATGAGGTAGCTTACACAGACTTTTTCAAAGGTCTGATGGACGGGTCGGCCTTTAAGTTCGACCTCGTCAGAAAGAGGGTGGCTACCCTCTAAGAGGCACTGATGGAGGCGGACACCTATATACAGGCGAACGAGCTCTGCAACATTAGTAAGCAGTCGGACTCAAAGAGGTTTGACAAAAAAGAGAGTTGGCCATCACAGCCTGCTAAGAAAGAAGAAAAGAAAAGAAAACAAGTCTGGGTGACTGAAACTTCTGAACAGCCATCCCAGAAGAAAAAGAGAGAAGCAAAGACGTACTCCCCAAAGTACGAATTCAATAAAGACTGTTACTCCATCCTCATGGAGATTAAGGACAGGGTCTCTATTGACAAGCCGGCTCCTATAAAAGGTTCCGCTAAAAATCGGAACAAAAACAAATACTGCCACTACCATGAGGATATTGGCCACGTCACCAACGAATGCTATAGCCTCAAGCGGCTGTTGGACCGTCTGGCTGACAAAGGAGTCCTAAAGTCTTATATCTTGAGGTCCAAGGTTACCTTGAAAACTAACCCTGGACAGTCGTCCAAAAAGAAGCCCCACTTTGCTAATAGCTCGGATACGGATGAAACTCCGATCTATACAATAGCAGGCGGCTTCGTTGGAGGCGGCCCTACCATCCGGGGCAATAAAGACTATGTCAGGCGCCTCGATGTTAACTCAGTCGACGAGGGACTGGCTTCCAAGGACTACTTCCCCGAAGTCGTTATTACTAAGGATGGCAAGGGCAAAATCAGGAGGCCGCTTGATCACCCTATTGTCATCGAATGCAAAGTGGCCAACCAAAGAGTTGGCCCAATCCTCATTGACACTGGGAGCTCGTCTGATCTCATCAGTCACAAGTACCTGGCCAAGCTCAGGTACAAGCCCGAGAGTATGCACCAGGTCTCTTATCCTTTAGTGGGATTTGGGGGTGGTGTGGTACATCCGGTAGGTCGAATAGACTTACCCATTCGTTTGGGCGAGAAAGGGGAGGGACGCCACATGGTGGTCCGGTTCTTAGTTGTTGAAGAACTGACGGCCTACAACATGATTTTGGGGCGCCCCACCCTGAATAAATCCAAGGCTATTATCATCCCTTCTCTTATGCTTCTCAAGTTTGAGAGGGATGATGGAATAGTCGGCTCCTTACGGGGAGACTAGAAGATGGTCAGGGAGTGCTATCTCTCTGATGTTAAGCCCGCTGTGGTCGCAGCCGGCCCCAGTGGAGAAACTACTGACCTTGACTAGGTCAAGGAAGCCTCGCCTACTCTGACAGCAGCCGGCAAGAAGAGAAAGGCTAACCAAATGGTGGCCGAGAAAAAAGACAGGTATGCAATAGCAATCACTGACCGGTCAAAGACTGGTTGAACTCCGTCCCCAGCCGGCTGGTGAACACATGGACATCGTCCTCGATGACTCTCGTCCTGACCGGACTGTTAAGGTTGGGACGACTGCTTTTGCTGAACTCGGTGCAGACTTGCACCACTTGTTGAAGGAATTCAAAGACATCTTTGCCTTTGAAGTGGACGAGATGCCAGGCGTCAGCCCGGATCTAGCCGTCCACAAACTTGCATTGGATCCTAAAAAGAAGCCGGTAAGGCAAAAGAAAAGGAACCATGGTGAAGAAAGAAGCCAAGCGACAGCCGCCGAGGTGAAAAGATTGTTAGATGCTGGTTTCATTTGGCAATGCTACTTCCTAGATTGGGTTGCCAATGTTGTCCTAGTATAGAAGCCGAATGGAACCTGGCGCATGTGTGTTGACTACACAGACTTGAACAAGGCATGTCCGAAGGATAGCTATCCTCTCCCAAAGATCGACAGTCTGGTCGACTCTACAGCCGACCATGCCTTGATGAGCTTCATGGACGCCTATTCAGGCTTTCACCAGATACCCTTGTGGAAGAAATATCAAGAAAACACGGCATTCGTCACTGATCAGGGGTTATTCTGCTATATTGTGATGCTGTTTGGTTTGAAGAACGCGCCTGCTACCTTCTAGAGAATAATTAATACAATCTTCGTTAATCAAATAGGAAGGAATGTGGAGGCGTATATTGATGATATGATTGTAAAATCCAAACTTCAGACAGACCTTCTTACAGATCTCCGAGAAACATTCTCCACACTCAGGCGGCACCATGTCATGCTAAATCCCAAGAAATGTGTTTTTGGTGTTAAGTCTGGGAAGTTCCTTGGATTTCTGATTGATCA